ATTATCAACTCTTTCTCTATTTTTTACTAATTTTAAAATTTTAGACCCCAAAACGGTTCCGTTGCGTTTTTTATGTACTAATAATACATTCAGTCAAAGAAGTACCGGGAATGGATGATTTGGTTATGGTTCCAAAATCAACTGTTTTCCATTTTGGCGCGGAGTTTGAGTTGCATCTGTTATTTATATTTAATACAGTGTTGTTTCTAGTTTTATGATATCTAGTGTGTATTGCGAATTTCATAATGGACAAAAACATCGAACAAAGAGTTTGTCTTAAATTTTGCATCGCCAATGGAATTTCGTGTTCGAAGTCACTGAAAATGTTACAGAAGGTTCACGGTGAATTAACTTTATCAAAAACACGTGGTTATGAGTTGTACAAAGCGTTCAAAAGCGGTCGAGATGTGATGGAAGATTTGCCTTGCTCTGGTAGGCCATCAACGTCTGCAGCTGAAGTTAACATCGCAAAAGTGAAGGAAATAGTGACTGAAAATCCTCATTCAACTTTGAGAGAGATAGCCGCCGAACTTTCTGTATCTCTCGAGTCGATCCGTACCATTTTAACTAATCATTTGGGTATGAAACATGTTACCGCTCGGCTAGTCCCAAAAGACCTGAATTTTCTCCAAAAACTCAATCGCATGAGAGTCGCTGGGGACATGCTAGAACGAGTTATTTCCGACCCAACATTAATGAAACGCATTGTTACTGGTGACGAGACATGGGTTTACGAGTTTGACATGCAAACTAATCAACAAGCTTCGGAGTGGCGCCTTCCACCTGAACCGAAACCGAAAAAGCCACGCCAAAGTCGATCAAAAGTCAAAGTCATGTTTACTGTTTTCTTTGACTATCGCGGTGTTGTGCACTCGGAATTTTTACCGGAAGATCAAACGGTAAATAAAAAATATTATTTGAGCGTTATGTGGCATTTAAGAGAGGAAATTCGACGAAAAAGGCCAGATTTGTGGTAAGAAAATTCTTGGCTTTTGCACCACGGTAATGCGCCTTCGCACAAGGCCATCATTGTGAACGAATTTTTGACCAAACACTCAACAAATACCACCGAGCAACCACCATATTCACCAGATATGGCTCCAGCCGACTTCTTTGGTGCCAGATTTTTAACTCAATTTCAAAATTGCAGGTTATCAAAGTTGGTATTACAATTTTCTATATAAACGTCAAGGGGCTTTTTAAAGTAAAATAAAATAAAATTTCAAGCAGGGTTCCGTGTACTACAGTAAAATGAGTCAAAAATAAGGTACATTATAGTTTTTTTATGGCAAAGGGGACGAACGAGCAGATGAGTGATTGGATGGTGAGTAACATCTACAACTCTAAGGACACAAGTGCGATGACGCCCTTTGAGTTTGGCCTCAAATATCCTCACTCACAATAAGCACAGAAAGAGTTTCTGAACACAGGATGTTAGGCCGTAAAATCACTACGGTCGAGCCACTCTATATGTGATGAATATATTTATATATAATATAGCAATTTACCTGAACACCACCAAATCCTCTAGGTCCAAGCCACCGCTCGCACTCTACAGCAATGTCATCCCACTTCCACTCGAACAGATGCACCATCGCGGTACGGCCAGGTGCATAGTGGGGATTCTTGTAGCCCAATGTCAGCCCAACGGCCAACATTAGTAGGATAAAACGGAACATCCTAGAAAGACAGCATTTCATTAATTCATAATTTATACTTACCTAGTAAATGAAAGAAAACCAAATGTAATAATAGAAATAATGGTAAATAATCCGTTTTAAAATAGCTTTTTAATATTTTATTTAAGTGTAAAATGGAATCTATATAAACTCAACACTAAAAAACAGCAATTTAGAACACATGTCAAAAGCAAAATACGAAGAACATTAGTATACTCGTAGCACCTATTAAAAAGAAATTACGTCATTATTCATTAAATGCAAAGAATGTTTTCCTTCATTAAAGGCAAAGAATGAAGACCTTTATTTACATGAGCCTGTTTTTGTATGGTACTTGCCAATTTTAAAATAAGAAAAAATGAAATCGACAATTGTCTAAAAACCAACAGAAATTCAAATCCTTGGGTTACTTTATAATATAAAAGAAACATTAAGCATCAATAAAATACTGAGAGTAAAGATTAAATATTATAATAGTACATAAGGTTATTTTTTTAATTTAAGTTTAATTCAATATGTTGTGTTATACAGGGGAACAATCTTCAAGGATAATCCCGGTTTATGCTTCGTTACAGTCGGCTTAGAAAGGCAAAGATGACAATATATAATATTTTAATATACACAATATAATATTTGAATCTCAACGTATTATATTGTTTTGTTTGAAGCTTGATTTATTATTAATTTAAAGCTCAAGATTTAATCATTTAATCATATTATAATGTAATTGTATGTTAGCGAATTCTCCAATCAAATAATAAGTGTGTATAGACAGTTAAAAATAATTTTAAAGGGCAAACATATTAATAATTGAATAACGATACCAAAATCATAGTGAGGTGAAAATTGCAGAACTTTCACTCACCTTGTAAGCGGGTAGCACTTCTATCGCTCAAATTAACCGACCTACTGATCTACACCAACATTAGACACTTATATACCAAAAGATAAAAATATTTTCTTTGTAGATCTAATATTTAATATAATTATCGTATAAATTGCTATAAACCCTGATATACAATCACATCAGATTGCTAGAAAACAATATAATAATGTGCTGAAAGTTCTACGTGTTGTTTACATTGTACTCTTATCCCATCTTAACAGTGTCGTAATGTTTTCTTGTTTTTCACACCAGGCTATTTGTATGACTAGTTATTTGGTAATAAATTAATCAAATTTTTAAGTGTGTACATTAACCTGCGTAATGTTTGTATATGTTTAAAGATTTTTAAATATGAAAAAGTAATTTCGGACTTTTATAACGCCAAGGAAAGTTGTGTTGATAAATATATTTGCTGTTGTCAGTTGGTCAAAATACGCAAAAAGTCAACATTAATAATACTCAGAATTTTAAAATTGATTGGTTTGTATTGTGAAATATGTTTTGAAATTAAAATCTTACATTCTTTATCCAGAATTCAGATGAAAGAACAGAACAAATGGCTCATCTTACAAACAACTAACAACTTTGGCTACAGTTGAATAATTTTAATTAAAAGAATAATACAGGCATTGAGTAAGTCCAAATTGCAAAAAGACAAGTTAACGTTTATCCGTATGGTGACGGATTAAGACTACGGAATGTCACCACCCCTATTCATCCCGTGGGTGTCGTAAGAGCCGACTAAGGGAACAAACTGCACAGGACAACAGCACTGCAAAAGAAGAAAAACTTGAAACAAACCCTATACCCGTCTGGCTAGCGTGGTATAGTAGGCCAAAACCTCCTTTCTAAGGAGAGGCCTATGTCCAGCAGTGGACTATTATAGGCTGTTGATGATGATGATGAAATGTCGACAACGAAACTAATGACTTTTCAAAGTGATAAGTAGATGAAATAATACACATCCACCTGTACTCCCGTTTCCTAATGACAGGTAGAAGCAGAGTTCTTTTTTTATGGTGTAGGGGCCAAACCAGCAGACGATCAACTAATGGTAAGTGACTACCACCGTCCATGTGGGGGTTGATTTCCGGTAATGTCACTCACGCAGTGAAAAGCAACGAGAAAATTGCTTAAATTATAAGTAATTACCCTGCCTAATGCGTTTAGTATATGGTATGTAATTTGATTGTGATTGATGCCCAGATATGCTCATGTCTAAATATTTGCAGTTAATTGGCTAGATATAATAATAATAATAATAATAAAACTATTAAAAACATATTATCAAAGATCCTACAGCAACAGACGATAGGTGTAGAAAATGTCACAACCAAGCAGAAACAATTCAACATATCACTGGAGCATGCGCTAATCTTGCACAAACAGACTACACACATAGACACAATCAAATTGCAAATATCATACATCAAAGACTAGCACTCAAACATGAACTCATCCCGGACACACGTACACCATATTACAAATATATCCCTAAAGCAGTTTTGGAAAACAACACTCATAAAATATACTATGACCATGCAATACTAACCGATAGAACGATACATTACAACCGCCCCGATATAACCGTCCAAGACAAAATAAATAAAACTACTTACCTGATCGATATAGCTGTTCCAAATACTCACAACCTACAAAAAACAATAGCAGAAAAAATACACAAATATGCAGACCTTAAGGATGAAGTTTTAAGAATCTGGAAACAACAAAAAGTATACATTGTCCCTATAGTATTGTCCAGGACTGGTATTATTCCGAAACATATACATTCTAGTTTAAAACTCATTGATCTGAAACCCAATACCTACATGATTCTTCAAAAAGCTGCTATACTAAACACTTGCAGAATCGTAAGAAAATTTCTGCAAATAGATGAACAAATACACAATGCAATAGACGAATAGACATAATAAACTTCACCCAAGAACCCGTGGCATTTACTTGACTTTGTCCGTAAATGTCACAAAATACTACCAGCGAAAGCTGAGAAAGAACAAATTTAACATAATAATAATAATAAGCCCCCTAAAAATCCAACCACACGTCCTGATCGACCATCTGATCACGTGGGGAGCGGACACACGAAAGATAAATTACTGGCGTGGCTAACGTGGCACTGGTGGGTAGGGATTAGAGTAGGCAGGCAGTAGAGCGACTAAATAGACGGTTAATTAAATGGGTAGATAGGTGGATAAGTAAATAGATAGGTAGGCTGGTAGACAATAGATAGGTAGTTAAGCAGAGACGTGGGAATGTAAGGAGGGAAAACCCAAGCCAAGGTGGAACAGAATATGCCAAGGGCTGCGTGGCTAAGGGGGAGCTTAGTCGATAATATTCGAACTCTGAAGAAAGAGGGACCTTCAGTTTAAAGTACCTTGCCGTGGTGAACGCGGGTCTATGCCGCGGTGGACCGTATGTCCCCAGCTACTCGTGGGAACGAAATGATAAAAAATGCAAAATAAAACCAACAAGTATAATTTAAGGCCGCTACCCGGGGGTCGCCGGGACTCAATTAGAGATAATAATATTAATAACCAAACTGACAGACAGACGAACAATGACAATATTAGCTAAAATTCTTTGGCATCGCTATCAGTAACTGAACCATATAGTCCCTCAACTAGCTAGTACAGACCTACACCGGTGTCTGTCGTGGAAGAAGATTCACACGAAACACCGAATCCAACCTTAGCTGTTACGCAGGAGGTGAATGCCTTTTTACCTGCGTCCACTAAGAGTGGAAAACCTAGAGTACGCATGAGATGGAGTAAAGAAGTGAACCTATTCATCATGCGTACGTACTACCAAATCACTAAATTAGAGACAGACATAACAACATATAGGAAACAATTACACGAACTTTTTACACGACACTATCCCGATATCAACGTTACTGAACAACGAATTGCCGATCAAAGAAGAACAATTGTTAGAAATAAACTACTAACCGAGGAAACACTACACATATTAAAAGAAGAAATACGACTGCAACTACAGGAAAATGAACAAATCTACGAGTATATAGAAAATAATTCAAATCCTCAACTTCACAATACTCAATCAGTAACAACAGCATTACATACACAGTCACAACCACACACAATCACACAATCTTCACAGATATCCACACAACCTGAGACTATAACTTTAACCCTTGAGAATGATATAGAGATTATGCAAAATGTTAACCCCTCATCAGATAATATACAAAAAATACAAGTAAATTTAGAACAGCATTAGCGTTATATTCTAGAATGGATCCAATCACTCGACCAAAATTGCCTAAATTAAAGTACAGTAGGAAACTTAGTGAATTAACACACGTTTTTAATCATAACATACTACATCAATTTTTATCCGAAGATACACAATTAACAGATATTCATACCTTAATATACTGCACAGCGTTAGTTATAAGTGAAGAACTAAATTATAAAATAATAGATCACCCTAGAAATATACTATGAAAGAATAGTAAACCGCCATGGCAAATAAGACTAGAAAAAGACATTGAACAACTTAGAGCAGATTGCGGCAGACTTACCCAATATATCAACAACAACAGGTCAAACAAAATAGTTAAGAGAGTAGAACAAATTTTTCGAAGACAAAGCACTCACACTAGACACGAAAATAATAATAGAAAACCCGAAGAATACCTAGACCCATTAAAACAAAAATTAGCACTTAAAGAACATCGACTGAAAAGATATAAAAAAGCACAAAAGCGTAAAAATGACAACATGTTATTCACCCTCAATGAAAAATCATTTTATAGAAACCTATCGAAACCACAAACTGCTACAACTAGACCCGAAAACATAGACATTCCTACACAGATACAACTTGAAACATTTTGGTCAGGTATTTGGGAAGAACCGGTACAACACAATGATAAAGCAGACTGGATTACAGAAGAAGAAAATAAATGGAATTCAATAGAAGAAATGGAATTTGATTGTATTACAGAAGACGATATTGCACACGTAACAGGTAAACTACACAACTGGAAATCTCCTGGCATAGATAAAATACATAATTACTGGTACAAAAAGATAGCATCATTTCACAAACCTATAGCCAAAAACTTAACATATATAATTCTGGGGAAACAGAATATACCTGAATTTATAGGTATGGGTATAACATATATGCTGCCAAAAACCGCACACTCACCACAGCCTTCTCAATACAGACCCATCACATGCTTACCTACTATATATAAAATTCTTACATCAGCAATAGCCCACAAAATTAATATGGACATTGAACACAATCACATAATAGCAGAAGAACAAAAAGGATGCAGGCGGGGACACATGGGATGCAAGGAGCAACTGATCATAGACTCTACTGTCCATAAACATGCTACTACAAAAAACAGAAACTTACATTGCACTTACATAGACTATAAAAAAGCGTTTGACAGCATCCCACATTCTTGGCTTATAAAAATTTTACACATCTATAAAATAAACCCTAAAATCACAGATTTTCAAAACCACATTACATCTAAATATGAATGATAGAACAGTCACGACCCGACAAATCTCTATAAAAAAAGGTATTTATCAAGGTGATTCCTTGAGCCCCTTGTGGTTCTGTCTTGCCTTGAATCCCTTGTCTCATTTGCTGCAGCGATGTCAGGCAGGATTTCGTCTGAGGAATTCTACAGAAAAAACTATTATTTCTCATCTCATATTCATGGACGATATTAAATTATATGCAAAATCCGATAAAGAAATGACAAAACTTTTACAAAATACAACAAAGTTTAGTAAAGATATAAATATGGAATTTGGACTGGATAAGTGTAAAACGTTACACATAATCAGAGGGAAAATACGCCCTGGGGACTACGTAGTGGATGAGTCAAGTACGATAGCAGCTATGGAGTCAACAGATTTATACAAATATTTAGGTTATAAACAACTTAAAGGGCTAGATCACACCTCAATCAAACAAATATTAGCTACTG